TGTTGGATCCCTGTCACGATCCTGACATTACGACAGGGCCAATGGATCCTGCAGGTACAAGCTCTCAGGTCGGTTCTCCTGACTCTAGATTTGAGGCCATGGATCATAGAATGGACCAGATGGCTCTAGCTCTGCAAGCATTGCTATCTCGTCCTAGTAATCACTCAGAGGAGATGCGTACCCCATCTATCTCTCCTATAAGTACAGGCCTAGAGGTAGCCACAGTGGCTACTTCTTCCCGTGTTACGTCCCCGTCACGCTATGGCGGCGCTCCTGACACTTGTCGAGGTTTTTTAAACCAGATAGGTATTCATTTTGAGTTACAACCCCACGCTTACCCTACTGACAGGGCGAAGGTTGGATTTATTATTACCTTGCTCATTGACAAGGCACTTAGATGGGCTAACCCCCTGTGGGAAAATGATAACCCGTTAGTTTATAACTATAATGCTTTTGTCGCTGCATTTAGGAGAGCTTTTGACCCCCCAGGAAGAAAGGCCAATGCAGCTAGACTACTGTTACGTCTTAGACAGTATAACCGAACCCTCGTGGATTATGCTTTAGAGTTCAGATCCTTGGCGGCAGAAGTCAAGTGGAATGAACAGGCTTATATGGACGTATTTATGAACGGGTTATCTGATGAGATTTTAGATGAGGTGGCCACAAGAGATCTTCCTGAAAATTTGGAGGATCTGATTTCATTTATTTCCCGAATAGATGAACGTATGAGACAGAGGCAGAATATTCGGGATAGAACCCGCAGATCCTCCATAAGACTAGCTCCCTCATTTCAGAGTTCTGATTCTACTACTTTAGCTCTCCCAGAACCTATGCAAATAGGTAATACTCGACTCTCAGAAGAGGAAAGACAGTACAGGAGAAGGGAGGGTCTTTGTATGTATTGCGGAATTAGAGGTCACCTACGCCTAAATTGCCCTAACCGGCCGGGAAACGCTCGCACCTAAGTTTCTCAAGAGGACAGGCCTTGGGTGTTTCTATCTTGTCCTCTATATATGATTATAAAGATCATAGGCTTCTGATACCTGTTTCTTTAGCTTGGGAAAGGGGAGTACTTAATGCTATGGCTTTGATAGATTCCGGAGCAGCTGAAAGCTTTATTGACCAAGCCTTTGTCACTAACCATTCTATCCCATCTCAGCTAAGGGATACACCCTTGGCCGTTGAGGCCATAGATGGTAGACCATTATCTGAACCTGTTATTCTTCGTGAAACCATACCAATTAAGTTAACCACTGGTATCCTTCACGAGGAAAGAATATCCCTCATGCTGATCTCATCTCCTTCAGTTCCTATAGTCTTGGGGTATCCCTGGCTTAAGAAGCATAACCCTATCATTGACTGGGAATTGGGTGAGATAGTCTCCTGGGGTCAGGGTTGCCAGAGAGGATGTTTGCAGAAAGTCTCACCGATTTGCAGGGTTGACGCCCCGGTTAACTCTTCCCAATCTACAGATTTACAGATACCGTCGCAGTACCTGGATTTAAAGGCGGTCTTTGACAAAAGGAGGGCTGATACTTTACCTCCACATAGGTCTTTCGACTGTAAAATTAGACTCCTACCTGGTACTATGCCTCCGAGGGGTACGGTATATCCTTTATCCACTAAGGAAAACTTAGTCCTAGAGGAGTACATACGTGAAAACCTAGACAAAGGATTTATTAGGAGATCATCTTCTCCGGCCGGGGCCGGTTTCTTTTTTGTAGATAAAAAAGACGGCACTCTACGGCCTTGCATTGATTATCGGGGCTTGAATAAGATAACTGTTAGAAATGCTTATCCTATTCCTTTGATTACTGAGCTCTTTGATCGACTGAAAGGCTCCAAGATTTTTACCAAGTTAGATTTGAGGGGAGCTTATAACTTGGTGAGAATTCAGCAGGGAGACGAATGGAAAACAGCTTTCAATACCCGTTATGGCCACTATGAATACACGGTAATGCCCTTCGGGCTTTGCAATGCACCTGCAGTATTCCAGGACCTTATTAATGAGGTTCTTAGGGAATTTCAGCATGAATGCGTTATAGTATATTTGGATGATATACTAATACACTCTAGAGAGATTGAGACTCACCACAGACAAGTCAGAAGGGTACTGCGCAAACTGTTACAACATGGATTGTACTGCAAATTGGAAAAGTGTAGCTTCGACCAATCTCAGATAAACTTTCTTGGCTACGCTATTTCTGGAGACGGATTTAGGATGGACCCCATTAAACTCCAATCGATTTTAGATTGGCCATTGCCCAGGGGACTCAAGGCCATTCAGAGATTTATCGGATTCTCCAATTATTATAGGCGCTTCATTAAAGGTTACTCTTCTATTATTGCTCCTATTACCAATATGACTAGACAGGGTGCTGATACCAAGACTTGGTCTACAGAGGCTCTCTCTGCTTTCAAAACACTCAAAGAACATTTTGCCTCAGCACCGATATTAGTTCATCCTGACACATCTTTGCCTTTTCTACTCGAGGTTGACGCCTCGGAGACAGGTATAGGCGCTATCTTGTCCCAAAGGCTAGGTTTGGATAAACCGTTACATCCATGTGGGTTTTTTTCCAAGAAATTATCTGGGCCTGAAAGTAGATATGACATTGGTGATAGGGAACTGTTAGCGGTCATTATGGCTTTAAAGGAATGGAGACATTTGTTGGAGGGGACATTATACCCGGTTACTATTTTGACGGATCACAAGAATTTGTCCTATATAGGGGAGGCCAAGCGCTTGTCCGCCAGGCAAGCTCGTTGGTCCTTGTTTCTGACACATTTCAATTACGTGCTCACTTATAGACCTGGCTCTAAGAACTCTAAGGCAGATGCATTGTCCCGTCAACATGAACCTTCTACGGTGTCTGAAGCTGCTTTGTCTTCTATCGTTCCCAAGTGTAATATTATTGCCAACACATGTGTCAGGATACACTCGCCGTTGCTTGCTGAGATCAAGAAAGTACAACATCTAGCTCCCAAACCTGTTCCTGGGGATCGATACTTCGTTCCTCCTGAGCTCCAAGTGGAATTGCTGCATTGCTTTCATGACAGTAAAATTGCTGGGCACCCCGGCATACGCAAAACATGTTCCCTGATTTCTAAAGATTTCTGGTGGCCTTCCCTTCGTAAGGATATAAGGGATTTCGTCGGGGCATGTGCTGTCTGTATGAAGACTAAGCAACCTCACGCGCTCCCTTGTGGACTTTTGCACCCCTTAGAAATTCCCGAGAGACCATGGTCATGTTTGGCTATGGACTTCATTGTCGATTTGCCTGTTTCTAAAAAACATACTGTTATTCTCACGGTGATTGACAGGTTTACTAAAATGGCTCATTTCGTGCCCTTGCCTAAACTGCCCTCGTCTCCCGAATTAGCTGAGATATTCGCGAGGGAGATTTTTCGTTTACATGGTATTCCCTCTGAAATTGTTTCTGATAGAGGTTCCCAATTTGTTTCCCGCTTTTGGAAGTCTTTCTGTTCTCACTTAGGCATCAAGTTGAATTTCTCATCTGCCTATCATCCCCAGTCCAACGGAGCTGCCGAACGCACCAACCAAAAGATTGAACAATATTTGCGTTGTTTTGTTTCTGAACACCAGGACGATTGGGTTGGTCTGATTCCTTGGGCAGAGTTTGCACACAACAATCTCGTTTGTGATTCTACTCGTTCTAGCCCCTTTTTCTTGAATTATGGCTTTCATCCTTCCATTCTTCCGTCGGTTTCCCCTTCCCAAGGGGTTCCGTCGGTTGATGTTCATGTCGCCAATCTGAGAAAGTTGTGGGATCAGACTCGACGAATTCTTCTTCAGAATTCCATGGTGTTCAAACGACACGCTGACAAACGGAGACGGGTGGCTCCGGTTTTTGCCCCGGGTGATAGGGTGTGGTTGAGTACCAGAAACATCCGCTTGAAGGTTCCTTCCATGAAATTTGCCCCTCGTTACATAGGCCCTTACAAGGTTCTGTGTCGGATTAACCCGGTTGCGTATCGTCTTGCCCTTCCGCCTGCCCTGCGCATCCCTAACTCTTTTCATGTTTCTTTGTTGAAGCCTTTGGTTTGTAACAGATTTTCCTCCGCTGAGTCCTCCCCTCTCTCTGTCCAGGTTGAGGGTCAGGAGGAATATGAAATCAAATCCATTCTCGATTCTCGTATTTCTCGGGGGAAGTTGCAATATCTTGTTGACTGGAAGGGGTATGGGCCTGAAGAAAGGTCTTGGGTGGTCCATGAAAATGTGCATGCCCCTCGTCTCCTCCGGGCATTTCATGCTCGTTTTCCGTCTCGCCCCGGTTCCTTCCGCCCGGTGGGCGTTTCTGAGAGGGGGGGTACTGTCAGGTTACCTTTGGTGTCTACCTCGGAGGAGGTTAGACACCTAGACGTCCATCCTTCCAGGGGGGCTGACTCACCCGATCCTTGCACTCCTCCCGGTCGTTTACACGCCGGCCGCGATAGCTCCGCCTCCTTTTATGACGCGGCGCTCAGTAGCCGACGTCATGACGGCAATCACGTTCCGACCCGTCAATCACGGCAACCAAGTGCCGAACAACGAATCAGGACTCGTTGGGGGCGGAGCCAACAGTTAAAGAGCCAAGGTATAAAAAAGGGTTCTGTGGAATGATTCATTGCCCTGTCGTGGTTCTAGCTAGTCTGGTCACTCAGTGCACTTACCTCTATTGTCTTTTGGTTCCTGACTCGGCTTGTATTCTGACCCTGCTTTACTCTCTTGTCCTTTTTGACCCGGCTTGTCTCTCGCTTACCTGATCTCTCGCTCCCTCGACCTCGGCTTGTCTCTGACCATTCTTTTTGCTCTCTCCTTACGTTAGTCCGGCCACTCTAAGGTCCGGTATACGTACCTATCTCCTGTTTGTATTCTGCGTGTTGGATCCCTGTCACGATCCTGACACCCTCCAATTGATCAGAGTTAAAGGATTTCAAGTGGACTCATTACAATTACAGGGCCTCTAAAGAGTCCTGTATTGTTATTTGTTATTTGTCGTCACTACTTTCCCGCTTCGGGAGTGGGTCATTTGCGCGCCTGCTGCCTTCATTGCATGTGGTAGCCGTTTCTCAGGGTCCCTGTACGAAATGGAACCCTGATTCCCCGTTACCTGTGGTCACCATGGTAGGTGCAGAAACTGGCATCGAAAGTTGATATGGATGACATCCGAATGCAAAGTCGCCGTCACGGTGATGTGCGATTGGCCCGAGGTACTCTAGAGTCAACAAAGTGCCTGCGCAACTATAATGTCAACAGCTACTCTGCGGAACAGAGTTGTCTTTTTTTACATGTCCCAATATTTTGGGGGCTACCCCAATTATAAATAAATATATATATATATATATATATATATATACATACAGTGTTGGCTACCTTATCTTCCTCCTCCACCGCTACACCTACACCACCACGGTCACTGCCTCCTCAACCTATGGGTCACTTAGTATAAACTATGTACACATTAGCAGAGGCTTGTGAAGGCCTTTTCTCCATGCATCAGGAGTTAAGCATTTCTCCATGCATCAGGACTGCAAGAAATGCACCGCAGGCCGCAAATGTATCTTTTTTTTGTATTTCACAATATTTTGTGGGCTACCACAATTAAAAAAAAAAAACCCCATAAAAAACAGTGTTGGCTACCTCATCATCCTCCTCCACCGCTGCTTCCACCTACACCGCCATGGTCACCGCCTCCTCAACCTATGGGTCACTTAGTATAAACGATATACACATTAGCAGAGGCTTGTGAAGGCCTTTTATCCATGCATCAGGAGTTGAGCTCAGTTTGAACAATGAAAGAGAATACCCTGCACTCCAACCCTCTCTCAAATTGATAATTCTGGTGATCCTCCTGACAGCCATGCTTTAGATTTTGATTTATGTTCTTCCAAAGCTAAAATCAAAGATTCCATCTAGTGCTATTTTATGGCTCAGCTGTATTTTTAATTTTTAGGTATTTTATGTTATTTTAAGTGATTTCCCTATCCACATTTGTTTGCAGGGCACTTGTCCTACTCTGACACCAATTTTACTTCCTTTTGCAGCCCTTTCCAGGAGTTTTTTACAGGCATCTTTGTGCCCAAAAGTTTGGGTCCCCACTTCAATGGGGTTCGGGTTCGGGGTCAAGTTCGAGCCCGAACCCAGACTTTTTTTCAAAGATCGGCCGAACCCGCCAGACCCGAACATCCAGGTGTCCGCTCAACTCTAGTCACAATCCCTTCCCTTATGTTCAAGTTACACAAATCATGTTTGGGCTTGATTAGAAGAGCCTTTTATTAATCAAACGACCAATCCATATGGTAAACCATCTGACCCCTTTCACATGCCTATGCAATTTACATATACTCCTTCTGTCATCTGGTCTCTACCAAGTGATCAATTCTTATATGCAATACACAAATTACATTAAATGGCAATATTCTATTGTGCAACAATTAATTATGCACCCTTGGCGTGACAGGGCATACTAGGGATGGTAGTGGCTATGGTGGAAGGATGGGGGCTATAGTGGAATAGTGGGGAGGATTGTGGATATAATGGGGTAAAGGGGCTGCTGCAGTGGAGTAGTGAGGAGGGTAGTGGCTATAATGGGGGATAGGAGCTGTAGTGGGAGTTTAGGGCCTGGAGCGTGGGAAATGGGAATGTAGTGGGAGGAGAGGAACTATTGAGGGTTGGATGCTTACAGGGATTGTAGTGGGGTAACAGAAGCAGTAAAGGGGGAATGAGGCTATAGTGGGGGAAGATGGGCTGAAGTAGGATGGCGGGGACTAATGTGGGGTGACAGGTCATGGTAGGGGAAAATATCCCCCTTTTCTTCAGCCACACAACAGAAGAATGGGCTGGCCAATGAAGGAGATCTTTGCCATGCCGCGCCTCTCCTGCCTGCCGCCCCAGGGATGCAGCATCTAATTCACAGCAGCTGGAGTTGCCATATCCTCCAGGATTTCGTCACACACTACATTTTCATGCTGTGTGGTAATAAATTAATATGGATGCACTGCTGTACTAAGAATTAATATTTAATATTTAAGGAGGAAAATCAATCAACAAAGCATTTCCCTTCTGTATTTTGATGTCATTTTACAGGGCATCACTTTTCATGTACAGCTCATCAGAATACAGAAGTCATCATATGTGTCCAGGAATACACAGTAGATCTGGAACCGTTCTGCAGCCTGAATCTGCTTCTTTAAATTCTGCCTGAGTCACAGTGTGCAACATGGGACCTGAAATCAGTTTTTCCTTTAATTGAATGTCTCCCAGGACAAAACAACTCTGCAATACCATATTTACACATTGTAACTGTCATCAATCATCTCAGCAGCAACTGTGCATGGGATCTGCATCTCATCCAGTGTGCTATGGGAGACTGCTGATCTGCAGTGTGTGAGAGTCTGAAGTGTTCCGTAATCTATCCCTGATTTTCTGGATTGCATGGTTACATATAATTTTATACTCGCGACTTGCCATTATCTGTAATTGGCAGTAGCAGTGGTATGGCAGCTATAGCTGTGACATGAGAATGCACTGTATCATCATCTCTCCCATATCCATATGTTTTGTGATAACATGGTCAATTAAAGAATTATATTTTTTGTTAACTAGATGCTGCCATTTAAAGTGCACGGACACTTTATTTTAATACTTTTTCTAAAGTATTATTTATTAACTCTTTACTTGTCACACGTGTACAATGCAATGGAAGGAACCAGTGTGAAAGTAATTCCTGATAGATTGGCAGTCCAAAAGAGTAGATACTTGATGGCTTAATGGACATTTCTGAGTGACAGGAAACTGTTGGCAGACCACAACCCTGGTGATGACCATAACAAATGAGTGAGCTGCCATGAGCTTAAAGGATCACTATAGGGTCAGGAACACAAACATGAATTCCTGACCCTATAGTGTTAAAACCACCATCTAGCCCCTCTGGGCCCCTCATGCCTCCATAAATATAGCAGAATCTCACTTTATTCAAAGCTGAAGCTGTAGCTCTACATGCTGTTTGCCCTTTGGAAAAACAAGCAGCCTGCTGACATCATCAGAAGTGATGGCCTGATCCAATCAAAATGCTTCCCCATAGGATTGGCTGAGACTGACAAAGAGGCAGATCAGGGGCAGAGCCAGCATGATTCAAACACAGCCCTGGCCAATCAGCATCTCCTCATAGAGATGAATTGAATCAATGAATATCTATGAGGGAAGTTCAATGTCTGCATGCAGAGGGAGGAGACACTGAATGTTTGGATGCATTTTAGGCAGCCATGACCCAGGAAGGATCTCTAACAGCCATCTGAGGAGTGGCCAGTGAAGTTATCACTAGGCTGTAATGTAAACACTGCATTTTCTCTGAAAAGACAGTGTTTACAGCAAAAAGCCTGAAGGTATCGCCTCACTACAGCACCCCTCACCACTACTGCCTTTGAACTCCTCACTACAGCACTTAACCTCCCCACAACCACACACACAGCCAGCTTTATACATCACACACAGAAAGCCATAACATACACCTCACACACAGCTACAACACTTACAGCACAACCACACCACACAAACACTCAACATTGTAATAAATATTCACATTATATAACATTAAAAATAACATTGGTGAATAGTTTCCTGGCATACAGCTTAATGAAAGGGGTTGATTAAAATAACAACCTTATAAAAATTTACCACAGAGACTATAACATTAACTCTCTAGTTGACGTAGGCAGATTGGTGTGATAATGGTCCTTGTGGAAATATTGATTACAAATTTCATCTGGGGCTGGATTCTATTACCTTAGATAAGTTTAACACTGGAAATTGAATTCTCCTACAGATGTCTATGGGGAACTGCTATTCCCTTACTGATGATAAAATAATATCCCGTAATAGAATGTAATCCCAGGTGTGTTGAACACTGGAAAAGTTAATTTTTTATTATAATAGTAAAAACGAACAAACAAAAAAAATAGTTTGATGCTGTACTTTTTACCCTACAGGTTGGTGGTATTGGTAGCTAAGGACTAGTGTATTGCAAACAAAACTGACTTGGAAAAAATAACTCTTAAAAGCACACTATAGTCACCCAAACAACTTTAGCTTAATCATGCTATTTTGGTGTATAGATTAAGCCTATGCAGTCTTGCTGCTCAATTCGCTGCAATTTAGTAGTTAAAGGGATACTATAGTGCCAGGAATACAAAGGTGTATTCCTGGAACTACCGCTCCCTCTGCCTCCCCATCCTTTGCATCCTCCCTACCTGGTAAATAAAGGGTTAAAACCCCTTTTTTTACTTACCTGATCCCAGTGCCGATGTCCTTTGGCCCTGGGGCGATGCTCCGCACCCTCCGATGTCCCGTGACGAGCGGGCGCTAATGCGCATGCACTACAAATGCTGCACTTGCATTAGACCTCCTCATAGGACATCAATGAATCAATGCTATCCTTTGGGAAAAAAAGCAGAGCGTAACGGGCTAAAGATCTGTTTCGATTCCAGAAGCCCTCTTATGGCTATCTGGTAGACAGCCACTGAGGGCAGACTTAGAGCTACAATGTAAATTAGGTGCAAAAGGGACACTGCACCCAGACCACTTCAATTACCTACAGTGTCCCTTTCAATCACTTTGTTTATGCAGCCCTAGTCACAGCTAGGGACTGTGACTCACACAGCCTTACTTAACCTTTCCACTGTGGGATGTGGCCTGTAAGAGTTTGGGCATTTTAATGTTAGGCTGTGGCGGGATGCAGATGCAGCCGTACGAGTGTGAGAGAACACTCTTGCGGGCAATGTGATGTCGCCCATGATGCCTCTGGAAATCTCATATCCGGCAACTTAGAAATCCTGGGGCAAGTCCTGTGAGTGCAGTCTCCAATGCTAGGGCATATCCTGTGCGCGTAATCTAAATACTGGGGTAAGTCCTGGGTGCCAGGGAAAGTCCTGGGTGCCAGGGAAAGTCCTGGGTGCTGGGGAAAGTCCTACGAGTGCTGTCTCCATGCTATGGTAAGTCCTGTGAGTGTAGTATAAATGCTATGGTAAGTCCTAGGGAAAGTTCTGTGAGTGCAATCTCAGTGCTGGGGTAAGTCCTTGATGCTAGGGCAAGTCCTGTGAGTGCAATCTAAGTGTTGGGGTCAGTGGTGTATCCTGGTTTTGTGCTGCCCTAGACAGGACAAAACTCAGGCGCCTCCCTCCCCCCCGCCACTCCCACCCAACCCTTCCCCCCGCCCCGTCTTCTAAATACACACACACACATTCACTGACAGACACGCATACACTAGCTAACAGACACACTAACAGACACACTCACTAGCAGACACACACTCACTGACACACACACTCACAGGCAAACACACTCACACTAACAGACACACACACACACTAACAGACACACACACACACTAACAAACACTCACACTCA